GGTGTGGATTAACAAAAATAACTTCCTTAGTTACGGGGCTGGGAATTTGCCCACAGCTAAGGGAATGTCTAAACTTCAGAGTATGATAAACCCAGGACTTGGAAGCGCTGCATCCTTTCCCTAGCTACCATGCAAAGATGGACAGGGTCTTCACATGTTCACCAGTGAGTTTATTTTTTGGCAATGATACCAAGAACTGATAAGAACAGAGGATGGGGCTGGGGTGTAGCTCAGTGGAAGAGAATGTGTTTAGCATTCACAAGGTCCTGGGTTCAATCCCCAGTGCCAAAAAAGAAAAATGGTAGAAGGCATTTGGCAAGCTTTCTGACTCATTAGGAGCCAAGATTTGTGGGCAGAGCTCCTCTAAGCAGTGAAATCACTGAGACCTCAAGAGTGAGCATCAACTTCCTTTCCTAAGTTTACAAAAGTGAACCAGTCAATAAAATCCACAAACTTGTTTGGAAGAAATCATCAATCCTCAAAAAAGTGAGCTTGAAAATATGCAAGAAGCTACCCAGCCCATTATCTGCTGCTACTTTGAATGTTCACTCTTAAACCTATTTCATCTCCTAGTATATCTCCTTCTACATGCTTCTGCATTTCCCTCTTTATTTCCAAGACGTATTTGCCCGGGCAATGGATGCATTCTGACTATTCTGTTGGCGGGCTGTCATGCTCATCCCTCTTGCTCAAGATTAGCTGTTTTCCCACAGGCTTCCTCAACCTTGCCACATTTTTACTGTCTTAAACCTCAAACACGTACACACCCCTTTCAGGTGCTCTCCAGTCTTCAATACCTTCAGGGTTATCATCCCTCAAGCCAAACCCCTCATTCTCTAGAGAATCTTCTCTTGCTGCTCTATTCTGTATATCACTTTATGATCTCACTATCTACACAGCCATCAGAAAAAGAATGCTGGTGACACTTGGGACCATTCAGATCTTACTGGACAGTCTTCCTTCAAAATATCTGAAGTACGTGCTCCACTTTCTATTCCGACATGCTGGCAGGAATCTTAGAATTCTGTGTCTAGACTACTAGAACGGACTTGCCTCAACCTCCTTAGGGCCATCTCTCACTGACCCCAACACATGCTTTGCTCCAGGCACGCTGACCCTAGCCTCACTGGTCCCCAAACACAATATATACTTTCACAACTCAACATCTGAATCTTTGACAATGCCGGCGATTTTATCTGCAGGCAAACCACCACAGGCACATTCCGAGGCTCCTTTGAATGTCCACACTCTTCTCCAGCCTTTCCTTAGTCTGAGCTGGTGTTGTTCCCTTTACTAAGGACACACAGTGCTCCCTACAAGTCTCCACTCAAATCAAGTCCAGTGGTGTTCCTAAATATGTGCTGGGTAACAGGTACAGTGTGCTAAACACAAGAATATAAAACTAACTAAACCTGGACTCTATGCTATGGATCTCACAGGTTAGCAGGAGACAGACATGTAAGAAAATAATTACCACACAGCTTGATATGTCACAAAGGTCAGAGCAGTTCTGCCAAGATCTGAAGCATGAAGAGCCTACATTGTATGATTTGCTTGGACACCCCTTTCCACCCCACCCTCCGATTACTGAGGTTCCTAGGAGAGTATATTGGTTTAATCATATTTATATCCCGAGTCTAGTAGACTCCCAACATGCAGGCCCTCCAGACGTTTCATGAATGGACGAATCAGGGACTTCATAGTGACATATTAAGCATATTCTGTGAGTCATTCCACAGACCAATGTCCTTCGGAATCATTACTAAGCGAGAAGTATGTGCAATATCTAGAAAAGATCAAGAATTTAGTGATGTTAGTGAGAAAGAACAGGGAAGATACTTCTTTCTCAAGTGCCTACAGGGTCCTTGCTTTAGCTTATCTTCTTGCACTTCATCATCTTATATACTAAACATTTTATTTAGTTTATTTTCCGACTTCCCTTACTAGAACTTAAGCTGCCCAGGGGCAAGAATGTGTCTCTCTCGTGCACTTCTTCATCGCCAACACCAAGAATCGTTCCTGGCACAAGCAAGCATTCACTGGACAGTTAACATAATGCCCTTTAATGAATAATCCATTCAGATGCAATGATGAAGAAGTAAGTGTGTCAGGGCTGCCACATGCACAGCAAACAGGGGCTGAGAGCACAGATTCTAGGGACAGACTGTCTGGCCCTGTCCCTGTCTCCACCAGTTATCAACTGTGTAACCTCATTAAGCTTTCAAATCTCAAATGCCTCACAGGTACCGTAGGGGCAATCATAGTGTCTATTCCTCATGTGCTGTGAGGATTAACTGAGCTCATGCATTTAAGGGAACATAGGATAGTGCCTGGCACATCATAAACAGGTTAACTACCATCAGTATGTTTACAGGGAAAAAAAAAATCCAGAGACATACTCTAAATGTGTTTTAATTACATACAAATATAGATGCATCTATTAACAATATATTAAATATGGCTTTTAGAATAAAGTATTGAATGATAATTTATGATTTCTAGTAATTAATTCTATAGATAGGTGAAAATTATAATTTTGCTCACTTCCTCTCTCATATTCTCACTTAAAAAAGGTTTTGGATACAACAAGAGTTAAAAAGATTTTAAATTCCCTTTAACACTAAGTAAATAAAAAAAAAAAAATCAGTTTGCATAAACCAAGCAAGAAGTTGTACCACTCAGGAGGAGAAAAGAGAAACCTGTAACAATAGACGGGTCATTACACGTTTCGGATATTCCACTGTCCTGCAAGGAATTTATTAACCTGCAACAGACTGAATCAAAACAAGAGTTTACCCATGGTATTTCTCTTTTTCTGGAGAAAAGGAAAAGCCGACTCTTTCATGAGGCCTTCCTTCCCTTGGGGCCTTGGCCACACCCTCACATATCTATTTGTGTGGCCGAGGCAGCAACAAGCAAAGGCCTCCCCAGGCAACAGAAAGACCCACAGGGCAGGGAGGACATTCTGTACCACTTCTGGAATCCTACCTGGCTCCAGGTAGTCACTGAAAAGGCAACTGCATGATTAAGTGGGAAACACAACACTCTTAGGATGGAAACCTGCTCAGAACCAGTGCTACCTGAAGCTGCGATCCTGACGTACCTATCTAGGTTACTTACTCAGCAGCACTCACTCTTGATAACCATAGAGAATAATTTGTATCATTGGAAATTTAGCCAAGGGTCTGAAGTGTACCACGGTTTCTAAACCATTCCGTTGAGCTCAAGAATTTTCTTTATTTATTTAGGAACTCACGATCCTACCCACAGCTCTTCTTTAATAATGTGAGGGCTGAGAGCTTGGACTCCAGAGTTTACCGCCTTGTCTGAATCCCACCTCAGCCACTTCCCAGCTACATAACATCAGAAAAACCCTCCATGGAGGTTTCCTAATCTAATTAACATGGGAGGAGGCCTCAGAAAATTATTCTGAGTGTAATACGGATTCATAGGTGAAATGATTAAAACAGAACCTGGGTCTTGGTATACATTCAACAGCATGAGCTGCTATGGCTGGCGTTATAGACCTAAGTTTTATCATTATTTCATCTTACTTATTTAACTAAGTGTGTTAAAAAATACATACCCCCAAGAAGCCAAAGTACTTTGGATTTGGCTTCTTATAAGCTGACTTAGTTTTATATAAATTTTCCCATTTTGACAAAACAGAAGAGATCCATTCAGTTTAATTATAAATCTTTCTCACACTCATTCTAAATCTTCAAGAAAATGGCTATTTTAACTCTGGGTCTGGTTTTCCACTTAGTTCTCTGAAAGGATTTATTGAAAACACTATACAGGCTGGAACATTCCTGCTGCTCACCTTTTCAGCAAAGTAACTTTGTACAAATACAGTGGAGATTCGTTTGGTTTCAATTTTCGAATACACAAACACTGCATTGTATAAGAAAATAGCAACAGGCTCTCAGTGATCTGAAGGCGCATTGTTTTTGTTCCTTGATTCTTCTGTTCTATTTTTAACTCTGCGACGATTACAGTTCCTCTCCCCAACACAAAAACACCTTTCAATTTATTGTGAACATCCAAACAAATAAGTTGCCATCAACTTTTTAAAAACATAACTGCATAATCAAGCTAGTCCTTGACTTAGTCTGCTCAGGCAGCCATAACAAATACCATAAACTATTGTACCTTAAATGACAGAAATTTATTTCCTCGTGGTATCAGCTGATTTGGTTCTAGTTGGGGCCCTCCTCCTGCCTTGAAGCTGGACACCTTTTTACCAAGTCTCACAGGGTAGAGAGGGAGTCCTGGTGTTTTTCCTCTTCTTATAAGGGCACCAATCCTATTGGCTCAGGGTCTCATCTTTATGACTTCCTTTAAATCTTCATCACTTCCTTAGTCTCATCAAAATTCATGGCTTCCACATACAAATTTGGGGTGATAAGACTACTTGGTCTATAAATCTTCTAACCTCTCAAACATAAAACGCTAATTCAAATCCATAACATTTCTAGTTACATAAAATTTTCTTTCTTTATATATGGGAAAACCACTAGGTAAATTATAATTTAACTCGGACTAAAAAATTTTTGTTTTCTTGGTACTGGGGATTGAACCCAGGGAAGTTTTACCACTGAGCTATACCCCCAGCCCTTTTTTTTCATGAGACAGTTGCCAACCCCGGGCTCAAACTTGGAATCTTCATGCCTTGGCCTCCCCAATAGCTGGGATTACAGGCCTATACCACTGTGCCCGATTACATTTAAATTTTAAGAATTTGAATGCATAACTTAGTTATCAAGCTCATTGACACAGGATAACAAAAGCTTCAGTCATTTTCCCTGTCCCTTCATAAAACAATACAGATCACTTTTCCCTAAGATAGGACATTATGTAGCACACACTGAAAGGATTCAAAAAATATTTCAGGGTTTAATGGGAATGATCACCTACCTAAAAGAATTCTATCTTTTAAAATATACCCTGGGTACTGACCTGATTTCTTTTTTTTTTTTTTTTTAATATTTATTTTTTAGTTTTAGGTGGACACGATATCTTTATGTTTATGTGGTGTGAGGATGGAACCCAGCGCCCTGCGTGTGTGCCAGGTGAGCGCGATACCGCTTAAGCAACATCCCCAGCCCCCAATTTCTTAAAAGTGTGTGCACTTAAGTTTTCTGGGATTCGAGCATCATGTGGTTCAGAGAATCATACCAGTAGCAGCCATGACTCAGAAAATTAGATGAGCTCCAAACTGCACCTAGAAAGATAGGACTACAAAAGCCGACAGGATCCTAGAGTCCCAAGCTTTACACTCGACAGATGTGAAAGCTGATGGTCAGGGAGGGTAAATGACTTACTGTCTACGGCAGCTCATGGGTCAGAGTGATATTAGAACACAAGGCTCCTCACCACAGGCCATAGCGTCACATGCCACCAAGCCACAGGTTCTTCCAAATGGGAAGGGAACTCGCCACACCCTGGCAAACACTGCGTGCCTTGTCAGGCAGCAACAGTGAGAACCAGAGCTTTGATCTCTCTCACACCCCGACTCCCAACCCTGGCAATACCCTAAAAACAAGGATCACTGCTTCTCCCATATCCTTTGGCTTCACTTTGTTTTCCTCTCAAACGATGAACACTTCAAGCTGACGGATTCCCCTTTCCTGATCAGCTCTTCTATGGATGGAAAAGAAAATGGGCCAGGTGAATCCCTCTTCTTCCCCGCATACCTCTCCGTGGGTCTGCTTCCCCAACCGCATGATCTTCACATAATCCGTGAATCTAAATAAACATCCCTTAAAACACTTCTGTGCCTTCTACCCTTCTCACACTAGCATCTTCATGAGAGGATTGGAAAATGAAACCTAAAAATCCTCAATTGTAGTGAAGTAAAGAGATCCTCTGGGATTTGGCTGGTTTTATTCGTTTCTGTAAATGTTCTCACATGTGTGGGTACATGATTTTAGAGGCATGTTTCCTTTTAAGACCATTCAATAGTAGTCACTATTTTTACAAGGGAACTTACTTCTAAATCTATCTGACGTGGCTTTAATTTGCTCAACGTTGTACCTGCAGAAATAAGGGGTGTTCCCTGCAGACTCTGATCCGTCGACTAGAATGGCTGGCAGGCTTTCTGTCTTAGCCTCTGTGAAACAGGGCTTGACTTTTCCATTTCCTGTTCTGGTTTGTAACACAAAGAAATCTGTACATCTGCCAAATTTAGTAAGACACTTAATAGCTATTCTTGAAGCTCTCAAATTTCATCCATCCAATACAGCTTTAAAACTACACCTTCAAAAGTACAAGCCAGCATAGATGAAAGTTCACACCAGAAAAAAACTCAACTGTTTAGTTGCCCTCATCTCCCTATAAATTTACATGGAGTAATTTTCTACTTGAATTTTACTGAAAGATGTATTCTTTCTTATATGGTGAGGACACTCGATGAATCTATAACACAGAAATACTGTTAAATATTAACCATTTATTTTTAAAAAGTTAATGAAATGACTCATAGTTCCAACAGTCACCCAAGTGCATGCAGGTATGCATCCTTCTCAATAGCCTGTAGTTTATGTACATAAATCTATCTCCAACTAGATTTTGTAATGCTCAAAGAGAAGGGCTGAATTGTCTTGTTTTGTGATTTTTCCTAAGCATAATGCTGAACCTCAAAAGGCTAAATGTGGGCTGGGGTTGTGGCTCAGTGGTAGAGTGCTTGCCTCACACATGTGAGGCAGTGGGTTCAATTCTCAGCACCACATATAAATAAATGAATAAAATAAAGGTTCATCAACAACTAAAAAAAATATATAAAAAAGCTAAATGCATTCATGACAGAGGTGTTATTGCCGTGACCAAAACTGTCATTCTGCTTTCTGCCAAGTTTAATTCAACATTCAAATAATTCATAAACTTCTATAAGCAGAGCTCAACTACTTTATTCTTACCAGAGGTGGACACACGCCTGATCCTCTGAGGAGATAAGGTTCGATCAGAACTGAGGCTCCGACTGTCACTGTTCCGCCTTAAACAGGAAACAGCAGGCCCCACTTTGACTTTTGGAGTGGGTGTTTTTCTCAAACTGCAAGAGTCAGGTTTGGATATGTTCCTCCCTGAGGTGGTGGTAGGTTTTGAAGCAGAACCCTAGGGGAAAAAAAAAAAAATCAATTAAAATTTAATCCAGATCAGAGCTTGTCCATACAATTTCCATGTGTTATTAGCTATGGAAAAGAAACACTGTCTGTCTTAGCAGATTTTCCAGATAAACATTTAATTCTTATTTTTACTATGAAGCAATTAAAACTCTTCACAGTTGACTATTCAATTCAGCCTTATCTGCCTCTGGACCCATTAATGAGGTTGTTCTCAAGATCACCCATACCACAAGTCCTTTGCTGGAGAGTTCTCTCTCTAGCATCTGATACTGACCACTCACTCCATCTTTCTTTGGTTTCCCCAACAGAGGTCTTTCCTGGTTTTTCTTCTGGTTCTCTGGCTATTTCTCTGGGTCCTGTTCTGTGCCTTTAAGTGCTAGTCTTCACCAGGACTCAGACTTGGTCCTGTTCTCTTTTCTCACCACATCGTCTCCCCACATGATCTCATCTGCTGTCTCAACCACCACCTACACATTGGTGCATCCAAAAATCCATATGTCCAAGCCAACACTCTCTCCTGACTTGATCCTATATTTAACTCCTATCTGCCTCTCCCCACTTAGATCCTTCAGGTACCTCTGATTAACAATAATCCTATTATTGTTGGTGTTAACAGTCTTTATACTATGCAAAATATCATTCTAAATTCTGAATACATGTATCAACTCACTTAGTAATCCCATGAGATTGATACTTTATCACACTCCATTTTACTGAAAAACATGAAGCACTTTCTAAAATTAAACTGATTTTATACATTCATCTCAGAACTTACCTCTTCTCATTCACCATACAAGCTTCTTCTGGCTGCTTCCTTTCTTACCTCTTATATCCCTCTTTTCCATCTCCCCTAGAATAAGCCAGCATGGTTTCCCACTAGGATTACTGAAGCTATGTCCTCAGGATCTCTCTGGTCTCACCAGCCTCCCATTCATCTTCCATACCCTGGCCAGGGCAATCTCTCTAAAATTGAAATAGGGTCAGACCTAGTTCTACCCCTACCTTCCAGGAAAAAAAAAAAAAATCAACTCTTTTTTTAAAGATACATCAACATGGATTCTGAAGTCTATTCATATTCTAATATGGTAGCCCCTTCATGCTCTTCAGCTTATGTCAAAGCACCCCAGTTCCATCACACCCACTTATCTGGAGGCCCCCAAGTCAGAATATCTTCTCGTATTTCTTCATCTTTATACATGGCATCCCCTCCACCTAGAATATGTGCCTTCTACATTCTGGCAGTGATTCAACTACATCTCCCCCAGAAAACTTGATAATTCTCCCCACTGATCAGACCCTCCTTCCTCTCCTGCAACACAGGAATCTATTTATTTTCCCACCTTGGTATTTAACATGCCCTTCTAGCTTACTTTTTAACATTCCCCACTGCACTAGGCACTACGTTTGAGCAGGGGCTATGTCCTTTACATCCTACCAGCTGCCACCATATATGTGGCACACAGTAGGCACTTAATAAATGTTTCCATTCTACATTCAGGAAATGGGAGTCAAGCCTTACTCAGAGGACACATGCCAATGCTGTAAACTACCATCTGTGTTCTGCCTTCACATAAAGAAAAACTGACCAATGCAGAGAGGTCATTTTGCAGTGAATGATGGAGCTAGAATTTGAAACGACTTCAGAATCCATGTTCTTAATTCAGTGTTGCATACTCCCACTTGGACCCTTCTTTATTTAGTAAATCATAAGGATGATTTCCAATAGATACTAAAGCCCTATGCTGATGGCTGTCTGATCCAAACACCAGGTGAACTCAGTGCTAACTTATAGACCAATATCCCAAGGAAACAGCTGCAGGTCAGGTTCCGGGATAGGAGAACAATACTAAATTGGCCAGGAGAAGCAGGGGAGAGTATGCAGACACTCTCTTATCTTCTACCTCTACCTTAAAGCTGGCTGACCAAATCCCCCAGAGCAACTTTCTTCTAAAAAGTAAAACAAACTTCTCATCAATTTATAAAAGTGAATGTTATTCTGCCTTTCAGAGCCAACACTCCACAAAAGCCCTGTGATGTTTGTAACCTGAATTTGAATTTCCCTTTTTCTACCTAGCAGCTTTATGAGTTTTAAATAACCTCTTAAACAATTGCCTAATTGTTACTGGGAAGAATAAATGACAATGTATGTGAAGCACCTGAGCACTACTGGGAAAATTAAATGGCATAACATACATACACGGTGACTGAGCCAAGTGCTTGGTTCAGAGCAGACACTGAATAAATATCAATTCCTTTCCTTTTAGACACTTCACCACTTTCTAACACATTATCACAATTGCATAACTTCTTCAATGGGAAACTGCACAGCACACTTTGTATTAAAATAAAATTCCCTCTTCCAAATAAGAACCTTTCTGAAGTTTCAGATAAACCCTGACCACCCAACAGCTTATGAGGCTATAGACAGCCTGGAGTCAGCCAATTTGGCCCACAGACCATACTGAAAATTAACATCCCTCCAGGACTCTCTTCACAGACCCTGGGCAAGCAGAGCCCTTGGGGAGTGCTGAAGTCACCCACGAACACTGCAGGTGACTAAAGTACACAGCCAGAGTCACCCACTCAGCTTTCAGAGCTAAGCACCTTCCCTTCCAGACATGTGGATACTGGAGAGGCGAACTAATGAAATCAAAGGGCACCGTGCTTAAGACAGGGTCATGGAAACAGAGTGAGTTCTTTACAGCAGTCCATAAGTGCCAGCACCGCAGAGAACGTAGGACTGTCCTTCGGGACTCATATCTAATTATGAATCCTAATTGCAGGATTCTGAAGGTGAAAAGCACCTCATCTCCAAGATGTACCGGGACCCCTTTCAACCTGAGGATCCTATTACCTTACTTGAATACTGCATCATGGGCCTGAAAAACATGCTTTCATTCTGCATGGGGGAAAATATAAGGTTAAGACTGAATGCATAAATCTGGAAAAAAAAAATCCTCTAGCTTCAAAAGTATATAACCAATTTATATTCAAGGTAAATATTTAAAGAAACTTTACACCAGTTTTTTTGGTAGCCAGGGATAGATATGAAATAAAAGTCTCCCATAAATCAAGAAGAAATAAGTGTTCTGTTTCTATGTCTATCAAGCACCAAATTAAAATTACAAGTTTGAATCAAGATGTTACTGCAATTTAATTTAGCAAATATTACAATTATAAATGATATATTAGTTTGATAAATTTTTTAAAAATTTTTAGTTGTCAATGGACCTTTATTTTTATTTGTTTGTTTGTTTGTTTATATGTAGTGCTGAGAACTGAACCTAGAGCCTCACACATGCTAGGCTACAACCACATTTCTGATGTTTTTTAAAAAAAATTTTTTAAACAAACAAAAAAGCTTTTAAACAAGCTTTAGGATGACCAAACCATTTGTTACAAATCGGTGGTGTACCATTCTTCCTAACAGATCTCTAAACTGACACAGCTGAAGAGCATCTTCAGTCTTTCTTAACCTTATCACCTAAAATAACCTTATAATTCCCTCCTTGTGGCCCCCATGCACCCTTAAAACTCCTCTGAAACAGCCCATCAGCACCTGACCACAGTACATATTTCATCCCTCTTACATATGAGCCCTCCAAAGGACAGGCTGTCTGTGTTATGTCCACCTTCCTCCCCTGCACCCAGTTCCACTCCTGGCCCCAGGGACAGACACCCAAGGACAGCCTGCGTGGGGCTGAAAATACACATGTCCCCACAGCCAAAAATAGGCCTGCGGACAAGTACATAACCCCAACAGTAGCCTGTCAAAGTGTTTTCAAAACTCAGAAAACTAATGTCTTCATACTGTTGCCAAAATATATGCAAGTTTATAGAAAAATAATCTTTGAACTGCACGTGAATTCTTTATTTTTTTTTAAATGGACTGATCTAGTCCCCCTAAGTATTTGTTGCTATAGGAAATATGCTGCTTGTTCACTAAACACAAATAAAATGGATTTTATTTATTTCTTATACCAGAAATCAATACATTGGGTATGCAAGAGACCTTAGAAATCTACTAGTCCAATCCTTTGACCTTTGGGTCCACAAAAATTACAATCCCAAAGTTACATTAGCTTGTCAGAGACAGAATCAAGAATGACATCCTTGTTCACAGGAGAGGGGTCTACTCCCCAGAGGTAGGTCCTCAATAAAACATCAAGAGTTATTCTTATGTTTACTAGCACTCCCTAGCTATTTCTTAGTGTAGGTCAAGATATCTGAAAGTTTACTATTTTCAGAAAAATAAATACCTAATGTAATCAGGGGGTTATATTTTAACTTCAAATAACCAATTATAGTAAAATATTAAATTAACTTGTTCTTTTAACATACTATCAAAAGGAACATTGATATTCAATACAAAATACTGAAATGGAGGATTTTTTTCAACATGCAGGTTTGTTGTATGTATGACCTACTCACTCTAGTATGTATTGTCAGACAAAACAAAGAATCAACACCTGAAAGCATATTTGCACACCTCGTTCTGCCATATTATTGGATATTAATGGACCAATATTGCTAATAGACCCCAGTTTTTTCCACCACCCCTGAAGCACACAAAAGCTTTCACTTACCAAAAACAGGGAACCATATTCAAAAGTCTGATTCATAACTTCCTTTTTTAGCTCTCGTTTTTCCAGAGGTGTCCTATTTTCTTTTTCACCCTTCTTTTCAGGGCTAATCCCATCGATGTTGGAGACATATGTCAAACATTCAGCACTTTCCATTTCGACAGGGAGTATGCCTTTCATCTTCTCAAAAAGCACAGCTACAGTCCGGGTCTCACATGCTGCATTACAAGAACTTGCTTTGTCAACATCTTCCTGATTCAATTTCATGGCAGATGTTGTTCTTGGAACCTTGTGTGAAGCATTTTTAGAATGAGTTGTAACATGTACAGCCTGGCCAGTAATGAGTTTATTAAACTGCTGCTTGTGTGTCTTGTTAATTAGGATTTCTGCTTTTGTGTCTGAGTTCAAGTTAGATCTTGGTGTTTTGCTCAAAACTGTCAACTGCCTTGTGGAAGACACTGTTGAGGGGGATGAGACACTATTCAACTGAGATTTGGGTGTGACCTTTGGTACCGCAGGATCTTTGGACTGCAACACAGGTCTAGACATAACTTTTGCTTTGACATTCTTGAAATTTGGTCTTGGGTAACTTATAATTTCAGTTTTTCTAACCTTGCTACCTACAGAGATATTCGTTTTGGTAGCTAATTTTCCTAGGCTAGGCTTAGACATGTTCACAGGTGTCCCCTTGGATTTTGGCAAATTTTTAAGGTCTCGATGACTCTTCTCCATTTTATTATATTCCTCTGTTGCTTCAACAGGCGAAATAGTAAAGCTTGCATTTGTTCGTTCTAGGATGGGCGTGGACATGCAAACCATGTTATTTGTGCTAATGATCATATCACTTGCATCCCAAGTCAGTTCCAATGATGAAACCATCTTTTGTCCTGGTGAGCTATTTAATATCAGTTCTACACCATTATTTTGGGTTCCCAAATCCTTATCATTGGAAGCAATTTGTCGATCATCGGTCACGGTGAAGTTGTGCTCCGAGTTCAGCACTTGGGCTTTATTTTTATCAAAAGCTGGCACCAGTAAAGGGCATTCATCATCAATAACACAATCAGACACTGTTTCTCTTAGATTTTGGCCCATTTCCTTTTCACCATATGAGCTTTGTGAATGTGTCTTACTATTTGGTTCATCTTTAGAGAAACAATAGAACTCTTGTAATATAGACCCATTGGGGACTTCTATGCCATCGGAAACTGGTGTTAGTGCTTGTATCTCTTTTTCTCCAACTAGTCTTTGCTGTGACCCATCTGTGTAGTCACTGGTGACCTTTCCTAAAGAATACTGACACTGATTTTCAATATCTGGAACAACATCTGTTTGCATGACCATGTCAGAAAATGCTGTATTTGAGGCCTCTGATGATGTGGCTTGAGGGTTTTCAAAGATCTCTTTATTATAATTAATTTCTCTCATATGCATTTTGTCAAAATGGGATGATGTCCAAGTGGAACGGGATACAGAAGATGTATTTCCACTTCTCATACAGGTTGGTTGAGGTCTTCCAGAGGTGTGCAAAGACTGACTCTTTTCACTGACATGATGTGTGATAAAAGTGCAGTTAACTTTATTCATTTGTGTGTCAAAGGTTTTGTTTAACTCCAAGACAGGAGTAGCGCAGTCTGAACAATTCAAATCCTCATTAGATTTCCACATGAGAGGCAGAGATGGCTCAACACTCTGGTCCTGATCTGCTTCTAAGGAATGACAATCGCTGTGCTGGTATTTGGGCTTCTCTGTATTTATAAGTGCAGAAGACAGACATGTGGGATCTTCCTGTGTTTCCAATACCCGCTTACTAATAAAATCACTTGACTTTTGGTGATGGAGTACTTCAACACATTGGTAGTTTGAAAAAATACTTTCATCGCTGTCCACAGAAGGGTCCATTTCATAATCGACCACCATGTCCTCTGGGTTGAGAGAACTCCAATTCACATGACTGGCTGAAGAGTTTCGGGTAGATGGCGATGTTTGGTTGTATGCATACCTATTTCCATTTTTATCCCTGAAAAATAAGGAATGCGATTCATCTTCTGTTTTATCATCTGAATTATCATCATTCATTCTGGATATTGACATTAAACCTCTTCCATTTTATTTCTTCAATTCTTCTCAAATGAGAGGGAAGGAAAAATATTTGCCAGCCTCCTAACTTTTCAGCACAGTTGGAAGTTTTTCAGTTTAAGATGCTTCAAAGGTGAAATGATATGTTGCTCCCTGGAAGAAATAAAATGTTTAACTCAAGTAAATATTAGAAAAATTAATGTCACCCCTCGATTAATTTCAATCACTTTTTTCCCCACATTTAGAATCCACCACTTTTAAATATGTGAATAATTAAGATATTGTTAGCTAATTGTCTATCCCCTTTTAAAGTTTTGGGGGTTTTTTAGTAGGAACGAGGCATCAGAATGGAAAGTAGGGATACTGCTAAAGTCCCTGGGACACACATCACAACTGATATGCCTCCTCCCTTGTCATAAGAGGAAAGCTAAGTCTGGCAAAGTTTTTCCTTCTTGTTGGTTGACAGAGTGACCATTCATCTGAACTTGCCTAAGACGGTCCCAACTTCTGTCCTTAGTCCCAGCATAATTCATAACAGTGTCCCTTTCTCAGAAGAGCCCCCTACCATTTCCAAGGAGAATGATGACCAGACAGACCACATGGGCCCAGCAAATGAGCTAAAGATCAAGGAAGATTTAAGGAATTCACATTTCTCTTTCCTCTCTTTCCACTTCTGTCTTAAACATATGCCATTTCCAAACTGAAGGGGGAAGAAGTTGTTGATTTTTTTTTTTTTTTTGGGTAATGGGCACTTAAACACTGAGCCACATCCCCAGCCCTATTTTGTATTTTATTTAGAGACAGGGTCTCACCGAGTTGCTGAATGTCTGGCTAAGTTGCCGAGGCTGGCTTTGGACTCGCAATCCTCCTGGCCTCAGCCTCCGGAGCCACTAGGATTACAGACTTGTGCCATTGAGTCCAGTGAAGTTGTTGGTTCTTAAAAATTAAAGTGGTACTCTACTGAACGTTCCTTAAAATTTTAAGCAGAGAGTTACTATATGTTTACACTGACCTGTGTTTCTCCAAAATCCACAGGTTATAGCCTAATACCCCCACCCCAATATGTGACTATTTTGGAGATGGGGCCTTAAAGAGGTAATTAAAGTTAAATAAGATCATAAGAGTGAAACACTTATCCAAGAGAACTGATGCCCTGCTGAGAAACCAACACCAATACACTCTCTATTTCTGACCCCTTATGTCAGGACACGGCAAGAAGCAAGTTGTCTGTACAGAAGGAAAAGAGCTCTCTTAAGAAACCAAATCCTGATAGAACCTTGCTTAATCTGGGACCAGCTTACAGAACTGTGAGAAAATACATTTCTGTTATTTAAACCACTCAGTTTATGATATTTTGTTATGGCAGCCCTAGCCGACAAAGATTTCATATCACCCAGCTACTTTACTCCTAAGTATGTATTAAGAGAAATAAAAACATGTCCACACAAAAACTTGCAAACAAATGCACACGATTCTTAATAGAAGTATTATATTGTATTGTGTGGCCAAAAAGCAGAAATAATCCACCTATCCATCAACTGTTGAACAGATAACAAAATGTTGTATATGCATACAATAGTATTCTTGGGTACAGAAAGGAATACAACATTGATTCATACATACTACAACATGGACATGTGTTACATGAAAATATTATACTAAGTGGAAAAAGTTAGTCATAAAAGACTATTATGATATTATTTACATGAAATGTCCAGAAATAGGCAAATCTATCCAGATAGAAAACAGGTTAAAATGGTTCAATCCCTAATACAAAAGAAAGAAAGAAAATAGGTTAGTGGTTCTCTAAGGTTGAGAAAGGATAAAAGAAAGGGAATGAAAAGTGGCTAAATGGGATGTTTCTTTGGGGGGAGTGAAAAGTTCCAAAATTAGATTTTGCTGATAACCGCACAATGCTATGAATATACTAAAAACTATTAAATCATGCATTTCAAGTCTTAGAAGCACCCATAACAGCTTTCAAATTCTGTGATTTTTTTTTTGAAAATAACTAAAATTTTACTATGCTTTTTAATCAAATTAACGTGCTTAAGAAAGATCCGAACGTTCAAAGTTGAACTACAATCACTCAAATCACTCATTCAGATACACATCCACTTGAACTGACTTTCTCATCCTAATAATCAATGTCAGCCAAATGTCATGGTGCTGTTGTGAATAAAATATCCATGAAGGGGGAAAATGACATTCTGTGTGAGATCTATAAATTTTTGAATTAAGAGATCTCATTTTTCCCTTTTGCAATCTTTCTCTGTATTGAAACTTCAGTGACCTGAATAAAAAGAATAAAATCAGAATAGGAGCCATGAAGAACTGAAAGGATCAGTATCTTCTCTAATAGTGCTTTGTGTGTTTCTGGCCATGAATCCCGAAACCAACCTTAAATGGGATTTTAAAAACACTGCAATGTTTATCTCAACAGTGCATGTGTGCATGCACAAAAGCACAGATTCTAAACTCCTAATCCTAAAATAAGGGCTTTGTTATTTATATACCGATGGAAAACACAAATTAGTCAAATATTTTCACCAGATGACTCTTCAATTAAAAGGAATAACTGAAGCAATATTTTTATTAGCTAGGACCTTCATAAAAACTTTCATAAAACACAAATTAACATTTTAAATTCTCTGTTATAAAATATACTGAAGCTGAATGTTCAAATCAAGAAGTACATTTACTCCCTTTTGAGTTTACAAGTATGGAGTATAATTTCAAAAGCATTAAAATATGTTACACCTTTCAGCTTCCAGGAAGATGGATCCTCATTCAAATTATGCTGGTAGAAGCAAACATGAGCAAAGAACATTAAAAAAATAAGTATTATTTGCCTTTATAAACAGGGTCCTTAGATTCAATTAATGGAATTTTTGTTACCTAAGCTCTCCTTCTTCCAAAGTACATAAAAGATGATTAAAAAAATACAACCTGTTTTAAACTGAATAAAGTAAACTGTTCATATGTCAAAGCATTTTATTTAAAAAATACACACATAATATGATAAATTATACCACTAGTCCCATGCTATTTGATATTTAAGTTGTTTCCAGTTTCTCTTTATAAATAGCTCTAATCTTTTTTTAATCTTTGATTTCTGATCATTTCCTTTAGAAAATCTTCTTGGAAATAAAAGCATTAATGAATCAAAGGGCATGATTATTTTAAGGTCTTTGACATAGTTTATCAAATTGGTAAATAAAAAAGTCAAGATTTTTTATAATGTATGTGTTAATATATGTGGATATATTAATATATGTGGATATAGATATAATCTAAG